CTTGGGTTTGCGGGACATTTAAGAGCAGCTTTAACTGTTTTTTGTAACATAAATGTCGAATGAACTGTCAAAGCAACTGGGGAAATTGTTTTGGACCCAAAAAAGTTCTTCACCGCTGTGTGCTCGAAATATTGGTAAAAGTAGTTGTGAGTAGTAAAACAAAAAAAGCTTGAGACCCAAGTTAAAATTCAGATTCATCAAAACTGAATGTTTGTTCCATTGCTATTAAAATTAAAAGAAAAAACACAAATCAATGGTGCACTGCCACAACAGATGACTTTAAATATCTCACCTCCTTTTTTCATCACGTGACAACACGAAGCATGAACAATGCAGAAACATTTTAGGCAGATGTTTACTATTTTTCATGTTGGGTGGAGCTCCATTCTCCATCTGGAAGTCCATTTGTTTTCTTTAAAGGAGTTTAATGGAAACACGCACAATTTACATTTTATTTTCCAGTATTCTTCTTTAAACTGCTCAAATTTTGGATGAAAACCATTCATGTGGCTGAAGCTGCAAGCTTTTTGATGACAGCAATGTACTTCATGCCAAAGATAAAAGAAAAATATTAATGTAACATAAATCCTGAATATGAAAAGTGACAGGATGACAAGAAGAGGACTTCAGTGGGATTTTGTCATACTTATTAGTCATTATGATCCAATCAGAGCCAGACCTTGTTTTTACTGTTTCTGTGCATTTACGTGTGGCATGTAGCACATTGTAAAATGGTGCTGTGATCCTCTTCCATGGAGGAACGTAGAGATTTATAAGGTGAGTGTTGTGGAAAGGATCAATCTGACATAAAAGGGTTCAGCTGCTCTGTCAGCAAACCCACTACTTGTACGGATTAAAGGCTTGGCATATTTTCTAACTTTCTATAAATTGCTTTGTTGTTTTGTCTGTCTTTGATTAGCAGGCATCACCAACATGTCCAGTGTACACAGATAAATATATTTAAGGTGACAAAATATTGTGCTGTTGCATCAAACAATTATTGAACTTTAGTTATATTTATACTGAGAAAAAACATGATTAGTAGTGTTATTGTTCTGTAGGTTTACAGATATTCTAGTTTCTGGGTTATCTGGCACTCAACTCCTGGAAATGAAGTTATTCCAGATGACAGCCTATTCCATCATCTCAGACTTGTAACCCTATCACACTGTCACGAATCAGTGCTGTTAACATTGTGGTTTTGGAGTTTTGGTGAAAAACTTTAAAGTGGACACTACCCCCTTTTTGTTGTGCTTTTATATAAACATATAAAGACCAACTTTATATGCATATACAATTAGGGAAAGACAATATAGTGGCTCAAAGTAGACCAGTTTCAGCTTGATAAACCAAAACAGGATCCAGTGGAAGTCTGTTTGGTTAGTGGATATCCTGCTGTGCGTGCGTGTGTGTGTGTGTGTGTGTGTGTGTGTGTGTGTGTGTGTGTGTGTGTGTGTGTGTGTG